TAGTAATATACTTTAAATTAATTAGGTTAATCTTTTAATTTTACTAAATCAAACAATCGAAATCCATGCAATTCGTTAAAATTCACTAACGAGCGACACGTGGTCAATATCTGGCCACGTGGTGAGGAAGACTATATCAGACTTCCTCTACATCCTTCATGACGAGCAACACGTGGTCAATATGTGGTGAGGAAGACTATATTAGACTTCCTCTGCATCCTTCATGACGAGCAACACGTGGCCAATATCTTGCCACGTGGTGAGGAGACTATATCAGACTCTCCGCCCTATGTCTCAAAACAGCTAACCAACAATTTAAACATTTTTCTACTAACCTAACAAAAACTATAATATATTTTTGAAAAGGGGTTAAGGAGAATTAATTTCAAATTTTATTACGAACTGCGTCTACAGTCACTCAATTTACAACCCAGACAAAGTTCAAGGATAATTCGAAAACGGTTCTACGCAACCCTATAAAAACACCAACCAAACAGCGAACTACGAAATGAGACTCTGAATCCTCCTAAGAGGATAGGTAGGCATACAACTAAAATCGTGACGAGTTCCCATATATAAAATTAAAACGAGTTTCCCTAACTAAAATCAAACCCCTTTTCCCCTGATAAAAATTAAAATCCTATTTCCTAAAATCGTAATTCTAAACCCTAGTATCCTTGTGAATATGGTAGATGAGGGGTGCCTAACACCTTCCCTTCGTCTAAGACCGAGTCCGAAAACCTAGAATCTCTAACTTTTAGGGTCATTCCTTTATATTTCCTTCCTTAGGATAAAAATTAAAGGTGCGGCGACTCTGTATTAAAAATCAGTTGCAACAGCTGGCGACTCTGTTGGGGAATTCAACCCTAGGTTTAGAAGCCTTTCCCGTAGGTTTTAGGGTTTTTTATTTTGTTGTATTTTTTATTTCCTTTATTTATTTATTTATTTATTCATTCCTTGTCTATTTTATTATTGTATTTACTATGTGGCGGGATTTTAATTTCAAAAAAATTATTTTCAAAAAACCCTTAGAAATAAGGTTCGTTTATTAGCCAAGGGGATACATCATCCCTACGAGTTTATGTGACGACTTTGCCTAGAGTCGGTGAAATTCTGCAAAAGGAATACTTATCAATAAATATCCTCTTTGAAAGTAGGACTTTGGAATGACACCTATGACTCTTTGTACAACCCTAAACCAAATCTCATGACGAGACCTTTCACGACTTTGAGACGAAAGTCTCGGTATGTAAAGAGGCTCCACTTAAGGGAGACTCTTTTGCCTTTTCCCTCTGGTGTTATTCATGATACCCTTAAGTAAGCCACCTTATGGGAAGGGTAGACTAACTGTAGGCCAAAACTAGGACCCACCTTCTAGGGATATCATTCATATAATTCCATTTCCACTATCCCTAAACCCGCAGGGGTTACTTTTGGTATACTATAATCCCTAGCCTATAGGGTTTATCTTTCGTAAGTCATAACCCCTAGCCTGTAGGGATTCCTCAACTGCCCATTAGTCTATTACAATTCCTAGCTTATAGGAATTATCGTCCCTCAGTTACAATCCCTAGCTTGTAGGGATTCCTCTTTGTCTTTTATGGTCCTTAATCCTTAAGGAATTCCTATCTGTCTCAATCTCTGAGTCAGTGTAGGGTATCTTCAAATCCATATCTATTATTCTCTTTGTCCTTAAGAAGTTTCTGTCTGTCTCAATCTCTGAGTCAGTGTAGGGTATCTTCAAATCCATATCTATTATTATCTTCGTCCTTAAAGAGTTTCTTTTAGTCTCAATCTCTGAGTCAATGTAGGATATCATCAAACCCATATCTATTATTTTTGTCCTTAAGAAATCCCTGCCTATCTCAATCTCTGAGTCAGTGTAGGATATCATCATGTCTATCATTAAATTCGTATAGGGTACCCTCATGTTTAACTTCATACTACATCCCCGTCGCACTGCATATCCATGAAACTTTTTTGCATACCAAAAGCCAAAAATATTTTTGCATACCCATGCATTTTCGTACATTTATACATTTTCATTTCATGCATTTCAACCTCCGCCCTTATCCAACTATCATCCATATGCTAGTCGATTTCTTGATACTCGCCAACGAACTTAATAAAGTCTGAAATTGTGGAATAAGGAGATTATCTACTAAAGACTCAATGGAGCTTGGTCCTACAAGTCCTATTGGAGAGAGAAGGCAACCATTCACCATGACAACTACAAGCCTACACAACGCCTCAAATGCCACTACCATTGGTGATTCCTCTATATCAAGAGCAACTGTCCTATCAAAGAAATAATTATGCCCAAGAAAAGTCAAGGGTCATCCCCATGCTCTGACAAGTCCAAGAACTACGAAGCATCTCCTAAAGTCAGTGGATCAACTAAAAACTCTTCCATAGGATCATTAGGCTTTATCAGTTTCAATTTGTAATTTCCAAGTTTCTAAGTTATATTTGGTGTAACTTTGTATCTTTTGATTAATAATTCTAATAAAATGAGCATGCATGTTTTTGAATCAATTCATTTGTTTCACTCTTCATCTTTCATCACTTTCCATAAATAATCAATGACTTTCCATTTTCCCTCTTCTTTTGCATTTTCAATTTTTCTTTAACAAACTTCAAGGGAGAATGATGAAAATTAAATACCAAAAATTTGCTAACGTATGCTTTCAATGGTAAGACTGAGCTGACGATGTAAGGCATTGTTTCAATTCCTAAATAGTGGAGATATAAGGAGATAATTCGTAGTCAACCCCTTCGAGCCAGAAGTTGGAGTTCTTTCTATTTTTCAATAAAAAAACCTTAATTTCAACCAGGGGAAGGGTAATCTTTCAATTAATTCAATGCGCTATTCTCAAGACAAGTGATTTATCTAAACAAAAGGTTCAAGAATGTTTCTTTCCTCGATACATCATTGAGGAAACAATCTAATCAAAGGTTCGAGCACATCATCTTCCTCGCGTTCATCATCCAAAATTAAGGAATCAAATAAGACTAAGTCCACGACGTCTTTTTCCTCAATACATCAATCAAGATCGAGGAAACAATGAAGATGAAGCTTACAACAATCAGCGTGACAGTCACAAATTTTCAAAATTGAAAAACAAAAAGAATCTCAAAAGAAAAAAATTCAAAAAAAAGAGAGAGCTCGCTAAATCAAATACAAAAAGCAATAAATTTTGATTTACGTAAAAGTTAGGAATTTTTTTTTGAGTAAATCTAATATTTTATATGTCTGAGTTATTTTGTTACAAAATCTGTGCATTTTGAAGCAAGTAACAGAAAAACTAAGAATGAGACTCCAAGGTTGGAACTCAATAGTTTTTTCAGGAAGGAATAGAAGAAACAACAACAAGGGATCAAATAGAAAATCAAGAACAAAATCTTTTAATTTCTATGGAATTCCTAACCGGTTTCTGCAACATCATCCATAATTCATTATCGAAACCAAAACAGAACAAAAAAGAAGAACAAATTCACAAGCTCCTTTAAGATTTTCTAAATGGATCTGAACACGCAAAGTCACCAAACCATCGCCAATCTATCCTCCTCTCAATCGCGCGCAAATGACGTACAACAGCGCCCACGCCGTTTCCCGCTACGAAGGTACTACGCTCCGTTTCCAATCCGACCCTAAAAATACACCACGATTCCGTCGCAATCGCATCTCTCACCATTCCAACCGTGAGCCCTCCGACAACCCACCAACATCGCACAACCCAACCGCCTCCTCAAACCGCTCAAATCTGACAAACCACATCCACCGCAACAATCTTCATCCGTTGTTCCGTTCATCAACTCAGTCGGTCCCTGTGTCTCTGCTCAACGATTCAACGCACACCTCCGCGGGCCAACCCTTCGCGGACCACGCTTCCATCGCCGCCACTGAAGAAGGAAAGAAAAGTAAGAGGTCTTTGATTGACAGAAGATGATGTGTTGCAAACTAGAGAGAGGAAGATATGGATTCAATTTGGTACCTTTTTTCCCTTTTCTATATATCGATACATCTGTTTATATTTTTTAATTTTTTTTAATAAAGACCTTGCCACTGGTCAAGGAATTAGAGGCTGTAAAGAAGTTTGGAAAAGTCAAGATTGTCGGTAATCTTTCGATTATCGAAGCGGATGCCTTAGCACTCAAAGAAGCTATCTAAGGGTGCCTTAGCTTTGAACATTGACTATATTATTTTTGAAAGTGATTCTCTTCGCGTGATCTAGGTTGTGTGTTCCGATCACAATTGAAATTCCGAATATATTTTAATTATTCGAGCTTGTAGATCTTTGATGTTTTCTTGTCCCAACTTTGAGGTTGAGTTTATAAAACGCCAAACAAATATGATTGTTCACTCGTTAGCGAAGGCGGTCAATTCTTGATATAGGCGTAGTTCTTTTCATCTTATTTCTCCTTGTATTGAATTGTTAATTGCTAATGAAATGAGTTAGTTTTGTTTTTATAAAAAAAAAACATTTAACATTTAGCTTTGCCTATGTGGCATATGTATCTAAACAATTTGGTGTAAGTGATTGAGTGTATTCAATTGAGTCCTTTAAAAATTTATTACAACCATTTTCTCTCTTTTATTTCATCTTTGTCTTCAATTTTATACACCAACATAAGTGTTAACCTTGAAGATCTACTCTTTCTCTTTTGTTTCGAAAACTTACTCATCACTCCGATACTTTATTCCAGCACTCCAGTGCTTGTTTGTTTCTAATTCTTAAACGGAACAAATACAGCTTTTTGAAAAATCTCAAAAAATTTATCCCCCACCAATACAAATTTGTCACATATAATTTATAAAAAAAGATTACGTATCATTATATAATTAATTGTTAGCATTATTAATTCACGGTGTATTTAAAAAATGGCAATTGCCTTTATAATGCTATTATAGATCTTAACATCACCTTATAACCATTTAGGTTTCTCTCTCTTTTCTTCTTGAAACACACAAAAAGTTACAAGTAATAAGAAACTAAACCATGAAAACTCTTACCTTAATTTTCACATTCATCATGATGACTACCTTCTCACATGCAACACCAACATTAATCACTCAGTTTCAACCACAAACGAATCAGTCTTCTATGCTTAACCAAACTCACCAACAAGTAAATAATTTTATTTCCTCTCATGTTTATTTATATTTTCCAAAATATTAATTGTAAGATTTTAATTAAAAGTGTATATATATATATGCATGTATCAGCAGAATGAGACTAAGCATAGTGGTAGCTGCAACTACATGGTAAACATAAAGACAAGCTGCAATTCTCCATCATATACAAAAGATGAAGTGAGTCTTTTATTTGCAGATGCTGATGACTCACAGGTTTATGTTCCAAGACTAGATGATCCTGATTCTGGAACATTTGAGCAGTGCACAACAAATGAATTGGAAATATTGGGACCATGCATCAGGAAAATATGCAAACTGTATCTGTTTAGGAATGGAACAGATGGTTGGATTCCAGAGACTGTTACAGCATATGACTATGATAATCCTCCTGTCAAATTTTACTATAATGTTGATATTCCTGAAGATGCTGGCTATGGTTACAATTATTGTGATAAAGCTTAGTGTTGATTATTTTCTTTAAATCTTAGAATATTAAGAGTCTTTTATTAACAAAGGTAAGGTTGTTGCAGTTTGTCAAAATGAAATGGTCGATAAATTATTGACATATCTTGTCTCTGATTGTCTTTGGTAAGCGTTTTTTATTGTATATGATTTAATTAAAAAGATTTGTACTTGGTTTTATTAAATAATATTTTATTGTTGTTTTCGGATTCAGTTTCTTTTTTTTATCAAACCCTGTTAAGCTTTTATATTGGATCACATTTTCTATTAAGGAGATGATTCACCTAGCTTGAAAAGATATTTTTTTTTTTATGTGTGTGTAAGTAAGTACATATTAATAAGAGAGAGTTAAGGATTTTCTAATTTTTTTATACAAATCGGGAAAACTCGACAAAAAGAATGAGATTACACATAAAATCTACCTACGATAAAAATAACAAAGAATTTTTATTAAATTCGTAGAGACTATAATTGGGATGCGTGATATCTTCCGATAAACACCTCCTCCAAACCAAAATCTTTATACTCTAAAATGTATTATTCACATTCCACTTGTCATTTCTAAAAGAAATTCCATTTTTTAATAATCATAAAGTCCACAAAGTTGCGAGCCAAATTACTCCTAATTTTCCTTCTTTAAATTTCTTCTTTTTACTGAATCATACCAATCTAAAAAACTAGATAAGCACTCCTCCTACGGACCAACTGTTTTGTCCGTCCAAATAGCAACTTCCTTCCAAATAATCTTCACACATAGCACTTGAAAAAAATATGGTATCTACTTTCCTTTTCTATACCACATAAAACACACTTTTGTGATTCAACCCGAAAAACTACACCTCTAAACATCAAAAGATCCTTAGTTGAAAGTCTATTCACAAAAAGCCTCCAACCAAAGACCTTTATCTTAAAAGGGACATCCCCTTTCCACACCATACCCAAGACAACATCAAATCTATTCGGAGGACCATACGGTATTCTAAACTTTCAAAAAATTCGTAACATGAAGAAACAAAAAAAATCTCATTCGACTCCTTTCTCCAAACAACTTTATCAACTTCTTCCGAGGCTACATCATGACCAACCAATCTATCTCGGAAGGAGGCTACAAAGAAACCCATCACCGGGCACGACAACTTTCCCCCGCCAAACCGAAGTCACCCCAACTCCATACCCCCTCCTTCCAACCCCCATACCCGCCACCGACATCTTTTTTAAAAGAGAAGCATCAAACAAAACCGAAAAATCCTCTGCTAAACTCCTTCCCTCCACTCATCTAGCTTCCCAAAAGGGAGTGGAAAAGCCTTTTTCAATATTAAAGCGACAAAAAAACACAATTGGATCGCCATAATGCACAGTTCCAGTTTTAATTATGTCCTCCCACCAATAAGAATGAGATAAGGAAACTTTGTTGCTAACACCACCACAAAACACCTTCATAGAAATGTCGCCATATCTAACCTTCAACATATTCAACCAAAATGAATCTTAAACTTGAAGAATTCTCTATCTCCACTTATTAAGAAGAGCCAAATTGAAGTCCACAATATTTTTAATTTCGAGCCCACCCTTCTCAATAGGTAAACACACAATTTGGCATTGTGAATTTATCTAATAGAGTCTCTTGTTTTTTCTTGTGTAATACTCTATCTTGAGGGTCTTTTTATTTTTGAAGGATATAGTATTTGGTCTATAATTGTGATTTGAATCACTTCACGTATAATTGCTTTCTTACAAACACTTGAAAGAATGTTTGAGTGAAAGTGGAGAAATATCAAATTAAGGAGGAGCCTAAGTTGAAATTATGTAGTATTAGCAAAAAGGTACTGGATTGTGAGAGTTCAGATGAGACCGTTGTGTATTACTGACTGTTGTACCCCAAAATTTGCCCTCGCATTTTTCCCCAAGAAATCTCAGCTTCAAGTCTTTCCTGATTTTTTAAACTGACTCAAGAATCAGACAAACAAACTTTTCTTGTCAGTCAAGCGAAATTAGGGTTTTTACTGATTTTCAGGACTCTGGATTGTTTCACAGTTGGCTTAGGGTTTTGGATGATTTTTGGTTCAATTTTGATCAGGCGAGCGTTATCTGGCATTTAATCAAGAATTAAGGTTTTATGGGCATATTCTCAGAAGGATTTAAATTCTACAGCACTTTGCAGTTTATTCCGGGATTCGGGTTAAATTCGCGTGGTTTTGGTTTAATCAGTAAAAAAGGACAGTTGGTTTGAATTCACGTTGTTTTGTTTGAGCCCGTCAAAAGAAATGTGCAGTTTGGGATTACAGTGCTTGGCAAAGAATCAGTGAAAAAAGGAATGCGCTTGATCAGTTTATTTTGGTTAACTGCTGCTATGTTTTGGATATTGGAAAAGACAGGTTTAATTGATCAATTACTAAGACATTGTTTTATTTAAATTATTTATTATTCTAAATTAAGTGATTGAAATTTATTTTTCAATTATTTTAATTCAAAGAGTTTTAAATAAATAAATAAACAATAAAGAAAGAGAATTAGAATTAATTGGGTAATAAAGATTTTATTGATATTTGAATTACTTGTACAAATGTTGTTTATAATTTAAATTACAAACAATAGTTTACATTAATTTAAATATTAAATAAAAAGAAAACTATCCTATTTATTTCTAATTCTTCATTCTTCACTCCGTTCCGGTGCTCCATTATTCATCTGCAAAAAGAAAAGAGAAAGTCAGAAAGCAGTTAAATTACAGTTAAAATTAGACTCATCATTAAGGGCCACTGACTGGGATCAGTTAACCCTCTCTGCAAATCACGGGATTTCTCCCGGTTCACAGAAAGGGAAGAATTTTTATGCAAAGTTGAAAGAATGCAAATGTCAAAATGCATAGAATATCAAACTGCATAGTTTCAAAATCTCAAACTTCAAATTCAAACCAAACTGAAAAAAATCCAAGTTACAACTTTCTATCAAAAGCCAAAGGTACAAACTTACTGTCAAAAAATACAAAAATCTACCCAAGTTGTCAAAAGGAGATTTGGCAAAGATATGGAAGATATCACAAAGTGTAGAAAGCTGTCAAAGAAAGATAAAGATGCAGAGGAAATCCTATATGCAAGCAACTTTTCTCAAATCATCATTTCCCATCAATAGCCCTTTCAGAAAAAGTACAGCATGAATCATATTAAATATATTAACTGTACTATGCAGAGAGAGAAAAAGAGAGATAAGAGGCATGCTTTAGGCTTAGACAGTTCAAGATAACAAGAAAGAAAATATACAAAGACTCCCCACTGCATGAAAACAAGGAGGGAGATACAAACTAAGAAGGAGGTCCTGGCCTGAAGCAAACCAACTAAAAAACCTGATAAGCCAAGTTCAAGCTTACCTGCTGTCAAAACCTCACCGTACCTGCCAAAACCATTACAAACACATAACATAAACATGCTGAACCTGTCACAAAGCAAAAAAAACTCAAAACCTGCTCAAGTTCATACACGACCTGCCTGAACCAGTATAACCTCCCAACACCCTAACCTGCATAGGCTAAGCCTCCAAAAACACAAAACTACAGCAAGCGTAACCTTGTTAAGCCTATACCTTTAAACCTTCAAAAACCTGTCAAGGCCTTAACCAAGCCAAAAACTAGAAACAAAGAAAAGCTTAAGCATCAAACAGATTGAACCAAAAACACATAGCCTGTACAAAAACACATACCAGCATACCAACCCCTGTCCAAACCTGAAACTTGCTGAAACAAATCCAGCAATAACCAACATAATCCCTCAAGCATATCCAAACATAATCCCTTAAGCATATCCAAGCAAATCCAAGCCTCAAAGACAATACTTCCTGAAGCAAACTCAACCCTCAGAATATTCATCATAGGGTGCAACATACGCAAGCATACGACCAACACTCGAGGTAACAAATCAGAAGAAAGTCAGAAGAAGAGAACAAAGTTCAGGGCAACCGAAAAGAGCATATGAGCAAAGTAAAATAGGTGTTCATCATAAGCAGCAGAACTAAAGCAACTCAGTGTCCAAACCCTAGGCCCTCAGTATAAACATCACTGGGCAAGTTCATCTCAAGGCTATCATCATAGGGTGGAAAAGAGGCAACAAATATACAGTGTTAAAGAAGAAGAAGAAAGGGGCAAATTCAAGATAAGGTTTTCAGGCAAATACAAATCATCATAAAACCTTCACACGGTAAGGAGTAAGAACGAAATACCAGGGACATCAAGAAAGCTTCATCGCGCAAATCTCCCTCCGCTCGTTCCGGCCTCCTGAGCGCCACATCCCCCGTCTCTCCTCCTTCTCCAAGGTCAGGTAGTACAATCTTCTCCCTCTTTTCTTCTCCTTCACCTCATAATAAAAGATTAAGGTTAAGATTCAAATCGAAAACGCATACAATTCGTAAAAAAGGGAAACATAAACATTGAAAACGAACCTTGTATCAAGAGTCCACTGAGCTCAGGCCATAGAGAGAAGAGAGGTTTGGAGGGGGTGACGCTGGTGGCCGGATGGAGGAATCACCCAAAATCAGAAGAGAACGTTGAACGAAAAGTACGAACGGCGCCGTCCCAAACCCTAGCGCGTTATCAAATGAACAAATAATCCTCAAACCCTAAAAACGCTGCTCCAAACAATCAATGGGCCTGACCCTTTTCTGATTTCCTCTAAAGCCCATTAAAATGTTTCTTTTCTAATTCTTTTTAACAAAACATTAACACTAACCCTTTTTAAACAATATTTTCTTTTATTTATTCTTTGCAAAAATCATATTCATAATAAAGTACATTACCTTTTTTACATTTTTAACATAAATAATAAATACATTTTTATCATATAACTAAAATTAAAAATATTTTTCTATCCTTTTAATTAAAATACGTTTTGTACATAACAATAAAAAATATCTTTTTTGAATATGCATAATTCAATTCTTGACATTTAAATATTTTGTACATAATACATGGAAATATACTCTTTTTTCTCAAAACATCATTTCATAATTTA